ATACAAATCCATGAAGGTGAAAAGATGTGTGAAAGGTGAAATCCGGGAAATGAAGCCTTTCAGAGAACAATGTTGGTACTTTAACAGCTTTAAGCCTCAGGCACACAGGTTTATGAAAACAAACAGCTTTTTGTATGCCAGAATTTGGCAGAAAAACACCTCTAATGTTACAATGTGTCTGATTGTTTATGCGTGTATTGTGTTTGAGGGTAAATTAATATTCATTTATTTTGGCCATTGGAAAACACTTGCACATACGCATGCATACATGTCTAAAGTGTCTAAGTGCACGTGTATTTTTCTGCTAAAAAGCTCCTCTCAGAACTCACCTTTGCTTTTTTTTTCCTGTAAGTGCTCTTCCAATATGCCAGTAATGCCAATGTGTGCATGGTTGCATAGGCTAACATAGAGGTGCTTTTACAGGCAAAAAAAAAAATGCATAAGCAGCGTTTTTTAACCTCCCTGGCGGTATGATTATTTCAGATTTTTGGTGCTGAAAGCGGTACATTTTTTTGCATGGAAATATGTATTTTTTTTATTGTAGGCTGTAATTTTTAGGAATAATTCACTGAAATCTGTCCAAAACAAGAGTCTAGTAAACATCCCGGGTAGGATAACATCTGAAACAGGAAATCATAAATTATAATTTAATAAATAATCATAAAAAAAATAATATAATAATAATACATTTAATTCAATAATATAATCAAACCAAAAACACTGAAATGTGAAATAGAGCGCCAAGTTCGCACATCGCTGAGCAAAGTCGCAGAATCGTTTTCAGTGTCTGATGAGGAATTTCCCCCACGAAATCATTATCACTCAATTCTGCAAGTGGTTCTGATTTACTATCGCTGTTCTCTAGCCGGTCTAAAACCGCTTTTGATGTAAAGGGACGCTTTTTGGACGCCATGGACTTTTCTCAGTTTCCAAGCAGAAAGAACAGTAAAAATGCAGGCAGGGGACAGGACAAAGCACTCGGGACAAAATGTATGTGAAATGGTTTGATACAGCAATGTTTTACTATGTAAAATTCGTTTAGAAAAAAATGACATTTTTTAAAATTTTCAAGTTTCCGGCGCCCATACGTCCCGACGTCACAGGGACCGAACACAGAAGCCGGATGCCGGCATCGGCCGGAGGAGATGGCCGGGGTCGCTGCAGGGGACACATCGCGGGAGCGAAGGACAAGGTAAGTGCTGCAGGGACTCCCTGAGCAACGCCGCATGGTAAGCCCGAGTGTAGCTCGGGGTTACCGCTTTTGGTACTGAAATTTTACCCCGAGCTACACTCGGGAATACCGCCAGGGGGGGTTACTCTCCATGTATATAAGGCCTTAAAAAACTTCTATAATTGACTGATTAAGGGGATTTAGTCATCTGTGCTAGCAGGGTATAAAAGTTTTTTCAGCACTTGGCCCTGGGACACCTTACATCAAACGCAATTTGATGGGCACTGCAGTGTCTGAATGGATAGCACTTCTGCCTGGCAGTACCAGGGTCATTGGTTTGAATCCCAACCATGGCACCACCTGCTTGAGTTTTCCTGTTCTCCCTGTGCCTGCGTGTGTTTCCTCCGGTTTCCTCCCACACTCCAAAGACATGCTGTTAGGTTAATTGGATCTTGTCTGAATTGGCCCTAATATGTGTATGTATGAATGTAAGTTAGGGATTGTACGCCCCTTGAGGGTTAGGGATTAGATTGTACGCTCCTCAGGGGGGGGACTGATGTGAATGTACAATATATATGTAAAGCGCGGCGTAAATTGACGGCGCTATATAAGTACCTGAAATAAATAATAATTTTGTTTAAATCTAAGTTAGGGAGCCATATTAATGTACAGGGCTTAAAATTTTGAGTCTAGACCTACTAGACAAGCACACACCTTACTCTCCACCAATTGCCCCGCCCAACCTTGCCCAGGTCCGCCTCCAACCCCACCCCCTTAAAGCTTATGAAATTACATTTTTCTTTAGAATAAAGAGTCAAAAATATAAAACTGTATACAGTAATGTATATCCCCCTCCCCCGTACTCCATTATAGTGATATGACGTGTATACAGTAATGTATATCCCCCCCTCCCCCGTACTCCATTATAGCGATATGACGTGTATACAGTAATGTATATCCCCCCCCTCCCCTGTACTCCATTATAGTGATATGACGTGTATACAGTAATGTATATCCCCCGTCCCCTGTACTCCATTATAGCGATATGACGTGTATACAGTAATGTATATCCCCCGTACCCCATTATAGCGATATGACGTGTATACAGTAATGTATATCCCCCCCCCTCCCCCGTACCCCATTATAGCGATATGACGTGTATACAGTAATGTATATCCCCCTCCCCCGTACTCCATTATAGTGATATGACGTGTATACAGTAATGTATATCCCCCCCCCCCCCTGTACTCCATTATAGCGATATGACGTGTATACAGTAATGTATATCCCCCCCCCTCCCCCGTACCCCATTATAGCGATGTGACGTGTATACAGTAATGTATATCCCCCCTCCCCCCTGTACCCATTATAGCGATATGACGTGTATACAGTAATATATATCCCCCTCCCCCGTTCTCCATTATAGTGATATGACGTGTATACAGTAATGTATATCCCCCCCCCCCCGTACTCCATTATAGTGATATGACATGTATACAGTAATGTATCCCCCTCCCCCGTACTCCATTATAGCGATGTGACGTGTATACAGTAATGTATATCCCCCTCCCCCCCCGTACTCCATTATAGTGATATGACGTGTATACAGTAATGTATATCCCCCTCCCCCGTACTCCATTATAGCGATATGACGTGTATACAGTATGTATATCCCCCTCCCCCGTACCCCATTATAGCGATATGACGTGTATACAGTAATATATATCCCCCGTACTCCATTATAGTGATATGACGTGTATACAGTATGTATATCCCCCTCCCCCGTACCCCATTATAGTGATATGACGTGTATACAGTAATGTATATCCCCCCCTCCCCCGTACTCCATTATAGTGATATGACGTGTATACAGTAATGTATATCCCCCCCCCCTGTACTCCATTATAGTGATAGGACATGTATACAGTACTTACTCCTAGTCCCTCCGAGTCCCCCGAGGCGGTAGAGAGGGTGTCTCCTCTCAGCGGAGGAGAGCGGACCTCTCCTGCACCTGTCCCCTCAGCGGCAGCGCCGAAGAAGCCAGAAGTTGGAAACCAGAATTCACAATGAGGCTTGGAGCGCAGCCACTCCATCTGTGATCGCCACTAGAGAATTTCTCCTCGCATTTGGCAAGCGGGCGAGCGGCTTTTTTCAAGCCCTGTAACGTATATGTATTATATTTAGGCCCCATGCACAGTAGAGTTTAAGCTCTTAAAAGCGGTTATTAGCATTTTTTTCTGCTCCTAGAAGCTCAATAGTGTTCTCCTATGTGTTCACGCACACTGCTTTAGGCTATTAGCATTTTTTGAGCTTCAGAGTTTAGGAGCAAAAAAAAAAAAGTTTTTGTAGAGTTTTTTGTACTGTTTTTCAAGCAGAAAATGATCCTAAAAGCTACTAAACTGCTCCTAACAGCTTTTTTTCTACATGTACTGTAAAGACACTAATAAAACCCTAACGCTCCTAAACACTACTAAAAAAGGCTGCTATTAGTATTTTTTATCCAGTGTTTTTTCAGCTTAATACCCTTTGAGGACCAAGGGACGTATTTGTCCCATGTTTTTAATTGCCTGTATCATCTGATTAAGAACTTAAAACTCTTCTTTTTTTTTTGGTTTGAGTCAAAATATTAGTTCTTATCAACAAACAACAAATGGATCTGGCTTTTTGCCAATTATTTCATGAAATGGCTTAGTTACAGCAACTGAAGCGACAAACTTTAAAAACAAAAACATTGATTCTTTTGGCGTTCCAAAATCTTACGGTCCTCAAAGGGTTAAAAAAAAACCTCTAGTGTGCATGGAGCCTAAGAACAATGAGGACAAGGTTTACTCTAAGTGCTTTATTCTATAGTGCTATGGAACTAAAGGCAAAATGTTTTGGATAAAGACGGGTTATAATTCCTGTAAATTTTTTTGGTCATTGAGGACATTTCCCTTCACTTCCTGTCACATAGCCAAAACAGGAAGTGAAAGTAAAGCTCTCCAAAAGTGAGTGTCACCAGGATCACCAGAACTTGTGTCCCCTTTGGAAGATTTCCCCTCTATTATTGTTCTGTCATCCGAAAATTTAGGATTTTCTTTCACTTTCGATGAGAATGGTAGAGAGGTCAAATAGAAAGGGGCACAGACAGCGATTGAAACTGACATGTTTTCTTATTCCTCTCCATTCTATCCAACGTTTTGCCTTTAGTTACACTTTATCTTAGAGAACTATGGGCTGGCACCCACGTTTCTCTAAGGTCTTTTGGTCTGTTCCCAATCTAGAGAGCCCTTTGTTGAAACGATTTTGCCTTCTTTAACCGCATCCCGCCCGCTTTATAAGGAAATGGACGGGCGGTGGTTCTCTCGTTCTGGGAGGGCATCATATAACATCCTCCCACTCTAACTGCGCATTCGCACCCCTGGGGGCGTGCAACGATCACTGGTGCACTGTGTACCTGGGACGCGGCGAATCATGGATCAGAGTAAAGAGCTGATGGCGTCGGCTCTGTCATGTGATTAGCAGTGTCCAATCACAACTGATCGCATGTAAACGAGGAAATGCCGGTTATCGGCAGTCCTCTCCTCACGCTGACAGCTTGTGAGGAGAGGAGCATCGGTATTCCTCAGAGGGGACATTTACACTGATCATCAGGCCACTGATCATCAGTGCCTTGATGATCAGTGTAGCCTCATCAGTGCCACCTGTCAGTGTCCAGTAATGCCACCTGTTAGTGCCCATCAGTGTCACATATCAGTGTCTACCAGTGCACATCAATGCCACATAGTGCCCATTAGAGCGGTCTTTCAGTGCCAGTAAGTGCTGCCTATCAGTGCCAGATAACAGTTACAATCACTGCCACCTATCAGTGCCCGTCAGTGCCATATATGAGTGCTGCCTTTCAGTGCCCATCAGTGCTGCCTGTCAATGCCCACAAGTGATGCCTGTCAATGCTCATCAGTGATGCCTGTCAATGCCCATCAGTGCCCATCAGCCTCATTAGCGCACATCAGTGAAGGAGAAAAATTACTTATTTACAAAATTTTACAACAGAAACTAAAAAAGACAAATTTAAAAAAAGAAAGTTAGTTTGCGATTAAATACCACCAAAATAAAGCTCTGTCTCACAAAAAGGATAAAAATTTTGTTTGGGTGCAGTGTTGCATGACCGAGCAATTGTCATTCAAAGTGCGGCAGCGCTGAAAATTGGCCTGGGCACAGGTAAAAGTGCCTGGTAGGCAAGTGGTTAAACAACGATTCAGTGGGGTTGATTTACTGAAAGCAAAGGTCCACTTGCCACCTATACATTTAGAACTGATTTTCTAAAGGAGCAGAGGTTTTTCTTTTACCAAAGTTAATGTTTCGAGAACTTTGGGTGACTAAAGTGAACATAGCTTCACCCTATCATTTCCCTTGCTTTAGGTATTCACAGTGAAGAAAGCTTCACCTTGTGCACTATTTACTAAGCGCATGGAACTTTCACTTCAGTAAAAGAAAACCTCTACTCTTTTAGAAAAAAAATCCAAAAACGTAGAGGTGGAAAGCCATGGTTCTCTCATAACACAGGTCCGCAAAAAAATTTTTTTCAAGAGCGGTTTTGGTTATTCTACGTAATCTTTATGTTTTTTGGTGCGCTGAATCCGAAAATGACCTCCATTTTGTCATAGGACATCACGTTTCCTGACAATTTAGGTAACTATGTTAAATAAGGCAATACCTCAAAATAAATGGAAATAGACTTATAAGATTAAAGTTTTATTACAATTTTTTTCATGAAAATCCTTTTTTGAACTGAAATGAGCTCACCTACACACACTAAACTTGATTCTTCTTCCCTGTGAGGCTCTTCTTGGTGAATTTACGCTTGTGAGTAGCACCTGGAATGTCTCTCTGAAGCATCCAACAGTCGTCTGCCATCAAAGAACCAGCAAACACAAATGCTCCTGCGCTTGGGGATGGACTCGATGCTACAACCACATTAAGAATGTCCTGGAACATGCACACCTTGCTGCCCTCAAATGGACCGGGGGAATCCAAATATACTGAATGGGGAAAGAACAAAAAGAGGGCGCACAGGCCTATTGCATTACCATAAAAAATGTTTAATAAAAAATAAAGTAGGTGTTGTACTCACAAACGACAATATAGTCAAGGGCTCTGAGGAAGAGGCAAGTCCTCGAAACGCGTCAGCCTTTTGGATGTCTAAACTCCCTATTGTGGACTGTTACTCAGCGCGGTGTTGATCCAGCTGTTCTTCTATGATGTGCCTTGACTATATTGTCGTTTGTGAGTACAACACCTACTTTATTTTTTATTAAACATTTTTTATGGTAATGCATTTTTTTTGTTCTTTCCCCATTCAGTAGTCTGACATCATTGTAAGGCTCCATTTTCCCTGGTATCTCCTTTCCATCTCTATAATGTCTTGGTGGAATCGTTCACCTTGTTCCTCACTCACAGCTCCCAAATTTTCAGGAAAGTAGTCAAGGTGGGACTGGAGGAAATGCACTTTCAAACTCATCAGGCAACCTAAAGCTTGAAATGCTTTCAGCATTCGTCCGACGATCTTTTTGTAGTGAGGATCTTTGTTATTGCCTAAAATTTTCTGTACGACTTCTGTAAATGCAATCCACCCTTCTTTGTGAGGATCCGTCATGGTATTGACAAACTCTTGATCAACTATAAGCCTTCTAATGTCTGGTCCGACGAACACCTTCCTTCAATTTTGCCTCCGACAGGCCTGGAAACTTGGTGACCAAGTATTTGAAGCATTCTCCATCTCTTGGAAGTGATTTTACGAATTGCTTCATCAATCCCAATTTTATGTGGAGAGGTGGTAGAAGAACTTTATGGGAAGGTACCAAAGTTTCTCGGAGGACATTTTTTTCACCGACAGTTAGTACCCTCGGCTGCCAACTCTTCTTGGTCCAGTGATTTTGTCGGTCTCGACTGTCCCATAGACACAGAAAACAAGGGTATTTGGTATCCCACCCACTGGATTCTTCAGGAAAGATGAACCCCTTCTACCATTAGAAGCACAGACTCAGGGCTGAGGCTTACACATACAGCATGATGCTGAGTATCCCAGTAGTCAGACATGTCACTCAGAGCAGCACTTGTATTCACCCCCTTTGCGGGGGGGGAGGGGCAGAGATTGTTTACCTGCAAATAACAACAAAGGGCCAGAAGAGAACTTGGGAAATGAGGAAATTGAATTTTTTTTCCCTAAAACTTGCTTTGCTTATGTATATATTGCTGACCATCAGCTTTACAGTGCTATATTTTTTTTTACATAACTTGGACAACCCTTTAAGATTTTTTTTTTGGCATTTTATATCTTAAATGCACTTATGTGAATTAATAGTAATTTGGACTTTAAATTTGGTAAAAACCCATAAATATAAAAAAATACCAAAAATTTTAAAAATTTGATAAATTCGAAGACAATTTTGCATTTTGTAGCAAATCATGACGTCTAGGAGTTTTTTCAATATTATATTTGTTTTCAGCACACCAAAATACATGGAAATTAGATGAAAATAATCAAACAGCTTTTTAGTTGCAGACCTGTGTAATGGAAGCAGAATTAAAAGCGCACCAGTACAATGGAATCCTTTGCTTCTGAAAAACCATGTTTAAATCCTTTTTCTTAATATTTTCTCAACAGATGCAGAAGAGAGAGCAAAGAAAGAAGCAGACGAAACTGCTTTGAAAGAAAAAGATGACAAAAAAGATGATGACAAAGAAGACAGAAATGAAAATGAAAGACCTTTACCGCCCAAACCAGAGACAAACAAAGAAACAAATTCAAGTGATGGCAAAGCTACGGAACCTAGTCAGGGAAATATTAATGGGACTCGTTTACCAAATGTAAACAGACGAGATGATTCCTCAGGACAAAGTCAAAGCAAACAAGAAAAAAGCGGGGGACAGTGAAGGCAAACCGCAAGTTCAGAACGGTAGGTCAATTTACATGATATCTACAACTGACTGTCATCATTTTGTATAGTGTGCTTCTTTAAAAATAATGACTTACCGGCAAAACAAGACGGTGGGATGGAAAGGGAACACTGTGGTCTTATGAAAACTAGGAGAGAATAAAAAAAGTTTGCCTTGTTGTGGGGGTGGCAAATAACAGAATTTTCACAACCAAAACACTTGGGCCAGGTGGAAGATATATGACATCTAGCAGACATTTATTATTATTATACAGTATTTATAAAGCGCCGATAGTTCGCTCAGCGCTGTACATTACAAAGGGGGACAGAACATGTGACAGAACAATACCAATGCAATGCAAAACATGAGGGGATCGAGGGCCCTGCTCTTTGGAGCTTACAATCTAGGAGGGAGGGGATGGTGGTACATGAGGGGATCGAGGGCCCTGATCCTTGGAGCTTACAATCTAGGAGGGAGGGGATGGTAGCACAGGAGGAGATAGCTGTGGGGGATGGAGTGGTAGGAAGTGTGGAGGAGGTCGGCAAGTTAGCAGGGGGTGGGGTAGGCTTCCCTGAAGAGATGGGTTTTCAGGGTGCGCCTAAAGGAGAGGAGAGTAGGTGATAATCTGATGGGTTGGGGCAGGGAGTTCCAGAGGATGGGTGACACTCTGGAGAAGTACTGGAGGCGGGCATGGGAGGAGGAGACCAGGGAACTAGAGAGAAGGAAGTCTTGTGAGGAGCGGAGTGTGCGTGTTGGGCGGTACTTGGATATTAGGTCGGTGATGTAGTTCGGGGCAGTATGGTGGACAGCTTTGTACGTCAGTGTTAGGATTCTGAATTTGATCCATTGCGCAATCGGAAGCCAGTGGAGGGATTGGCAGAGGGAGGTGGAGGACACTGAGTGGAGGCCAGTGGAGGGATTGGCAGAGGGGGGTGGAGGTCAGTGGAGGGATTGGAAGAGGGGGGTGGCGGAGATGGAGCGGTTGGAAAGGCGAATGAGTCTGGCAGCCGTATTCAGGATCGACTGAAGCGGGGATACCCAGCGGCGAGGCAGACCAGTGAGGAGGGAGTTGCTGTAGTCAAGTCGTGATATGATGAGGGAGTGGATGAGCTGTTTAGTGGTTTCTGGGGTTAGGAACGTGCGGATTTTGGCGATGTTGCGGAGGTGGAGTCTGCATGAGTTTGTTAAAGATTGGACTTGGGGCTGGAAGGATAGGTTGGAGTCCAGAATGACACCAAGTACTCTGGCCTGCGGGGCGGGTTTGATGGTGGCGTTGTTGGATGTGATGGAGAAGTCAATGGGGGGTGGGGTCCGGGCTGGGGGGAAGACAAGAAACTCGGTTTTGGAGAGGTTCAGTTTAAGGAAGTGGAGCGACATCCAGTCTGATATGTCGCTCCGTAGGTGTGTGATTCAGGCGGAGACTGAGGGGGTGAGGTGGGGGGGTGAGATAGATTTTTGTGTCGTCGGCATAGAGGTGGTAGTTGAAGCCGTGAGAGTGTATGTTAACATTTATGTTAAAACATCTAAATCCAAGAACAAAAAAAAAAAAAAAAAAGAGAGATAGTATTGTAGTTTTAGGGTCATTAGATGTGTTGACTGCCTTCATTTTTTTTCAGGCTTTTTTCATTTTTTTTTACCTGGTGATCTGGCCAGTAAAACTGTTCCTGTCTCTACGTCACTAGGAGAGCAACAGACACACCTTTAGACAGCAGCATTGTTAATCTCGGTGGAGGGTATTGTTAGATGCACTAGCAGATTTAGATACATTTGATTAACCAACTAAAGCTGAACCACAGCTAACACGTTTTAAGCAGTTACAGCAACAGTTTTTTTTTTTTCAGACAAAAAATACATAACTAAATAAAAGCTGACCATCGTAAGCACCCCTTTCAGTGTTAAATGGTTTGTCTCGACCCTCTAACTGTCACTTTGCTGGACAACTTGGCCTATTAAAGGAAAATAACAGACGTTTAAATATAAGAATAAAGGAAAAACCTAAAAAAAGAAAACAAATGCAGGCACCCAAGGGCGGATTGACAAACCATGGGGCCCCCAGGCAATAGGGGATCATGGGGCCCCTGCGTACTTGCCCAAACTCAAAAAAGCCTATGAAAAAGGTACCAGGGGCCTCTCATGGGCCCCCTACTGACCCCGGGCAGTGCCTGAGTTTCCAAATGGTCAGTCCGTGTCAAGGATCTGGGTATGACCAGAGATGTGTGGACTGACACAGGGAAGTAGCAGGCTTCAGGAACACAGGCGTAGTCAGGGCTGGAGAGGTAGAATGGTCAGGCGGGCCGTAAGGTACTGTCAGGCACTGCCCGGCGGGATCTCTAGTACCCACAGAACAGGATTCCCCAGGGCGTGGAGTCTAAGCCCCAGTCTGCCTTTTCACCAGAGCCCCTGATGTTGGGGATGGACTTGGCGCAGGACTGAGACCAGGTTGCGGCCCCTGAGTGCACCCAACTGTGGTAGAGGGGTCTGCCGAGGGTATGTACCGGGGGAAAGCCGCCTGATGTGAAGGGGCTGGCAGGTTTGGACAGTAGTGACTGGATCCGTGCGGGATGGATGGATCGTCTGGGTAGCGTCAGACGTAGTCCGGCAGGCCAGGTCAGCAACGCGTGGGCAGTGAGGTACTGGAGGAGCAGGCAGAGAATAGTCAGGGTCACAAGCCGGGTTCAGTAACTCATGGGCAGCGCGGTACAGAGGATCAGGCAGAAGGAAGGTCAGGCAAGCCAGGGGTTCAACAGGAGACGGTCAGCAGAGGTCAGGATCAAAGCAGGGTCAGCAACTAGGCAGATAGGCAGGAACACAGGATACCAGGTACAGGGGCTCATGGGAAACATACACCAAGGCCCTGATCACAGGCTTGGTCCTGCTTAAATACACCTCCTGCAATCAGCCTCAGGTGATGGCTGATTGCAGGAGTGAGATTCTGGCTGCTGAGAGCACCCGCTGGCCAGCCTTGGTGGTGGGACTCACCTGCCTTGTGAGCTGCAGTACCATTGGCAAGTCCATTCCTGACAGTCCGCCCCTGCAGGCACCACATCTAAGAATTAGTAAGCTGCAACATAATGCATTTTTGTATTTGGGTTTAATACAGCTTTAACTCTCGGGATGTTCAAAATTCCAAGATTGCTAATGCAATTAGAAATATCTTAGCTATGTGTGTTTGGACAAGTAAAATAGAGTGCTTCCATAAAGAAAAAAATCTCCATCTGATCCTTTTTCCAGTAATTGTTATGTCTAGTGTTGTTTAAAGCTCAACTTCAATTACAACAAGAAGGTCTGCCGATTGTCCTGCTCTTACATCGGCACCCACCCCCTTACCCTCATGTATTGGATTTTTTTTTTTTTTTTTATAGAGAGTGCGCACCTGTCAAAACTAGGTACCTAGGCAATCCGAGCAGACGTTTGCCCACCTCCCGCAGCCTATTGCAACATGTCACTGGTCCCAGGAGGCTGTGGGACTATTCAAAAAAATGCAGCGCGGCTCTCCCATGCACAGTGGGGAGCTGGTTGTGAAGCCAAAGTCCTCACCTGGGTCGCTTCTTCACTGGTCTTCAGGTCCTCTGCGCCACCATGTTGACTGTGAGAAGAACAGCTGTGATTCCCTTTGGCTTCGCAACCAGCTCCCCACTGTGCACGCCTTTCTGCCCTCAAAAGACCGGGGAAGTCCAAATACTGGATACAAAGAAAACAAAGAGAGGGCACACCGGCCTAGTGCATTACCTTAAATAACATTTATTGATAAAAAATAATAGGTAATATACTCACAAAAGACAAACGTATATAACCACATCATAATGAACAGCATTGTCCAGTCCGCATGGTGTGGCCATCCACATGGGAGCACTGGACCTCCAACAGGCTAACGCGTTTCAAGGACTTGCCTCTTCCCCAGAGCCAGTATACACAGCACATGTACCCTCTTTATAAAATGGTCTGATAACAAGTGTGTTACAAGTCGGCCATCACCCTCTCGCCCAGAGGTGGGGAAAAAGTTGACAAGTGCCACCCTTTTCAAGAATAGACTCAAACCAATCACTCGATAAAATATACAGATATACAAAAATCCATAAACAGCTAAAACATGTATAAAAATCCATAAATGCATGTGTGAAAAAGGTTTCCTTGCAGCAATATGGGACTTCCTTGCATAAACGCATATAAAAACCAATAAAATGTGCCATGTGTGATAAAACCCTGTACACTTGTATCCCAAAATCCATCTATACTGGCAGCGATCTATGTGAACAAAGTAAAGTAGGACAATGTGCAAAAAGGATGATGATGCATAGGAACTAAAGTTGAAAGAGTCTTGCAGTGTACTCACTGAGCTGTGATGGATGTGTTGGTTCCTCATGACATCTGCAGTACAGGCTGCCAGCTGGAACGCACAACGGCCGCAAACATGATTGCCGTGCGTTCCACACTGCGCTGGAACACAAGCCAGCATGAGAGTGCCTAGAGCAGTGAGGGGGCTCCTCCTACCCAGAGGAGCGGCCAACGAGTGAGCTCCACCAGGGAAAAGAGAGAACTCCATCCTCACTGAACGGTGATCCGGGAGTGGCAACACCTAGTGGAAGGGGGAGCATGGAGCCTAAAATCAAGGATCATCACTTGAATTCTGCTCTGTAGAGACATGGGGCAAGAGAAATGAGGGGGTGATGACCCAGATATAAAAATTAATAAATGAACGGATGAGATGAAATAAAAATGACCTCACAGATGGATGTAGCAAAATATTATGGTGAATGAGTAAGAAAAAATATATGCATGTGCATATGAATGCCTGTCCATACCTACACACACTAATATATTTATAATAATGTACAATTGCAAGAAAGTATGTGAACCCCTTGGAATTACATGGAGTTTTGCATGAATTGGCATAAAATGTGCTCTGAACGTCATCTAAGTCACAACAATAGAAGAACACAGTCTGCTGAACATAATACTACTACACAAACATTAGATGTTGCCATGGTTTAATTGCACATAACATGTAAACATTCACAGTGCAGGGAGGAAAAAGTATGTGAGGCCCTAGCTTAATGACTTCTCCCAGAGCTAATTGGAGCCAGGAGTGAGCCAACCTTGACTCCAATCAGTGTGATGATATTGGATGTGTTGCTGACAGCTGTCCTGCCCTTAAAAAACACACACACCTGTTTTGGGTTTACTGGTTTCAAGAAGCACTGTCTGATGTGAACCATGCCTCGCAGAAAAGAGCTCTCAGAAGACCTACGATCAAGAATTGTTGACTTGCATGAAGCTGGAAAGGGTTACAAAAGTATCTCCAAAAGCCTTGATGTTCATGTGTCCACGGTAAGACAGACTGTCTACAAATGGAGAAATTTTAGCACTGTTGCTACTCTCCCTAGGCGTGGTCATCCTGTAAAAATGACTGCAAGAGCACAGCGCAGAATGCTGCATGAGGTAAAGAAGAATCCCAGAGTGTCAGCTAAAGACCTACAGAAATCTCTGGCACATGCTAACATTTTTGTTGACACATCTACAATAAGGAAAACATTAAACAAGAATGGAGTACATGGGAGGACACCGCGGAGGAAGCCATTGCTGTCCAAAAAGAAGATTGCAGCACGTTTGAAGTTTTCAAAAGAGCACCTGGATGTTCCACAGCACTACTGGCAAAATATACTGTGGACAGATGAAACCAAGATTGAGTTGTTTGGGAAAGAACACACAACACTATGTGTGGAGAAAAAAAGGCACAGCACACCAACATCAAAACCTCATCCCCACTGTGAAACATGGCGGAGGGAGCATCATGGTTTGGGGCTGCTTTGCTGCCTCAGGGCCTGGAAGGATTGTTGTCATTGATGGGAAAATGAATTCCAGAGTTTATCAAGACATTTTGCAGAAAAACGTACGACCATTTGTCCGCCAACTGAAGCTCTGCAGAGGATGGGTGATGCAACAGGACAATGACCCAAAGCATACAAGTCATTCAACAAAACAATGGCTGCCTTCTGGAGTGGCCCAGTCAGAGTCCTGACCTCAACCCGATTGAAATGCTGTGCATTGACCTTAAGAGAGCGATTCACACCAGACATCCCAAGAATATTGCTACACTGAAACAGTTTTGTGAAGAGGAGTGGTCCAAAATGACTCCAGATCGTTGTGCAGGTCTGATCTGCAACTACAGGAAACGTTTGGTTGAGGTTATTGCTGCCAAAGGAGGGTCAACCAGTTATTAAGTCCAAAGGTTCACATACTTTTTCCTCCCTGCACTGTGAATGTTTACATGTTATGTGCAATTAAACCATGGCAACATCTAATGTTTGTGTAGTATTATGTTCAGCAGACTGTGTTCTTCTATTGTTGTGACTTAGATGATGTTCACAGCACATTTTATGCCCAATTCATGCAAAACTCCATGTAATCCCAAGGGGTTCACATACTTTTTCTTGCAACTGTATATATATAATAAAATATATATATATATATATAATATAATAATAAAAATATACACACACACACACACGTGAATGTGTAAAGGGGAAAAGATGCATGAAATCAATAAGTGTAAAAGTATGGGAGTAACATGTCTCTACACATATAGAAGGATGCTGCGTATCGGGAGAGTAAACATGGCATAAAACACACTAGAATCTATGTGCACAATCATGTAGGGGTGATAGATAAAAATGGAGATATAGTATATAATCAAATAAATGAATATCAAAAAACATTCGAGCCATGATGCAATCTGCAGCAATATGGGACTGTATAAAATTATGTGTGTTAACCCCATAAATCCATAGGTCCAAGTACACACACACAAAACATGTGTGTGTGTGTGTGTGTGTGTGTGTGTGTGTGTGTGTGTGTGTATATATATATATATATATATATATATATATATATATATATATATATATATATACAAACACACACACACACCTGAACGTGCACATAAATACAAGGGTGCACTTATCGTAAATAATGAATCATAAATATTTAGTCTAGTGAACTCGGACATGAAGCATAAAAAGGCATATAGGGCCTTTCTGCATTGTGAAGGTGCAGGAATTGGGCTGATCTGAGGTGTGAATGTAATTGCATTGGGATTTGAGATCTGAAAGTACAGTAATTGGGGTGATCTGAGGTGTTAAGTTGCAGGAACTGGGGACTGAGGAACTGAGAGTCTTCTGGTTGCAGGAACTGGGGCTGACATGAGGTCTTCTGGTTGCAGAAACTGGGGCTGACATGAGGTCTTCTGGTTGCAGGAACTGGGGCTGACATGAGGTCTTCTGGTTGCAGGAACTGGGGCTGACATGAGGTCTTCTGGTTGCAGGAACTGGGCTGACATGAGGTCTTCTGGTTGCAGAAACTGGGGCTGACATGAGGTCTTCTGGTGCTGGAATTGCAGTTGATCTAAAATGTGATCGTGCAGGAACTGGGATGATCTCATGTGAAAAGTTTCAGGAATTGTAGTAATCTGAGGTTTGATGGTGTAGGAATTAGGGTGATCTGAGGTGTGAATGTAATTGCATTGGGATTTGTGAACTGAAGTTGCAGGAACTGGGGTGATCTCAGATGTGAAGTTGCAGGAAAGGGACTGATCTGAGGTGTGATGGGGCAGGGATTGGGGTGATATGACGTGTGAATTTGCAAGAATTGGGGCTGACCTGAGATCTGCTGGTGCAGAAATTAGAGCTGATCTGAGTTGGGATGTTGCAGGAATTGTAGTGATCTGAGATATGAAGATGCAAAAATTGGTGTTGATTTGAGGTGTGGAAGTGCAGGAAATGGGGCTGATCTGAGGTGTGACGATGCAGAAATTGGGGTGATTTGAGAAGTGAAGGTGCAGGAATTACGGTGACCTGAGGGGTGATGGTGCAGGAACTGGAGTGATCTAAGTTATGAAGGTGCAGGAAATGAGGCTGATATGACATGTGAACATGCAGAAATTGGGGTGATCTGAGAGGAGACGTTGGGAAAGTGGAGCTGATCTGAGGCATGAAGGAGGAGGAATTTGGGTGATTTGAGGTGTGAAGGTGCAGGAATTGGGGCTGATCTGAGGCATGAATTTGGGTGATTTAATGTGTGAAGGGGCAGGAATTTGGGTGATCTGAGGTGTAATGTTGCAGGAATTTGGGTGATTTGTAATGTGCAGGAATTTGGGTGATCTGAGGGTAATGCAGGAATTTGGGTGATCTGAGGTGTGCAGGTGCAGGCATTGGGGTGATTTGAGATGCAAAGTTGCATGAATTGTAGTGATCTCAGATATGAAGGTGCAGGAATTGGGGTTGATCTGTGGTTTGGTGGTGCAGGAAATGGGGCTGATCTGAGGTGTGACGTTGCGGGAATTGGGGTGATCTGAGGTGTGATAGTGCAGGATTGGAGTGGATCTGAGAGAACTTTATTAGGTTGACTGTTATCAACTCACACTTTATTTCCAACTGTATAACAGAAATGAATATGCCAGCCTGGTGAAGGTACCAGTTACCATTTATTTTACCACTGACCTCTGAAAGTTCAATGATCATTTTTTACTATTATTTATGTTGTTTACAGCATTTACATTATAAAAATTTGTTTCCAAGATTGTGTGAAGTTGACACTTTATGTAGTTGGCACTCTCAATTTCTTTGAAAACATTTTTCGGCAAACTATGCTTAAAAAGTTGCCAACCCCTGATCTATCATTTAACAAAGTGTTTGTCTAGTTGCAATAATTCTAGGTAGACATTTCAATTAATCTTTAATCAGTGGAATGCATGTTGAATGCTGTAATTAAATTTAAAAATCTGCACAGTACATTGGGGATGTACAATCTACTGTATAAATGTAAGACCACTTAATCTAACTGCCAATCTACTCCATAACATTAGCAATGCCAATCAGCCTGCACATATTTTATCAGATATTGTATCCAGCCAGAATAAATTACCAGTGAGTCCGGTGTATAAATCCCATAATGTGTTTTCAGGCATTCAGAATATCCCAAATATTACAAAAAAAAAAAAAAGTGTGTACATGTGTGCTGATGGGTTAAAGACATTCTATGGCCCTGTCCAGCTCTGCTAGAGTCTGTCTCCTGGAATCTCCTCCATGCTCTTGAGACTGTGCTGGGAGACACAGCAAATCTTTTGGCAATGGCTCATATTGATATGTCATCCTGGAGGAGTTGGACTGCCTGTGCAACCTCTGTAGGTTCCAGGTATAGCCTCATGCTACCAGTAGTGACACTGACCCTAGCCAAAATGCAAAACTAGTGAAACAGTCAGAAAAGATGAGTAGGGAACAGGGGCGGACTGACAACTCATGGGGCCCCCGGGCAATAGGGTATCATGGGGCCCCTGTGTCCTTGCCCAAACTCAAAAAAGCCTATGAAAAAGGTACCAGGGGCATCTCATGGGTCCCCCTACTGACCCCGGGCCCTCGGGCAGTGCCTGAGTTTCCAAATGGTCAGTCCGCCCCTGGTAGGGAAAAAATGTCAGTGGCCACCACCTGTAAAACCATTCTTGTTTTGGGGGTCATCTCATTGTTGCCCATCTAGTGCACCTGTTGTTAATTCCATTAACACCAAAGCAGCTGAAACTAATTAACAACCCCCTCTGCTACTTACCTGACCAGATCAATATCCCAGGAGTTTAACGGACTTGATGCTAGACTCTGCTCAAAAAAATTAAAGGAACACTTTTGTGTGTGTGTGTGTGTGTCAGGGGTGGACTGACCATTTGGAAACTCGGGCACCGCCCGAGGGCCCAGGGTCAGTAGGGGGCCCCATGAGATGCCCCTGGCACCTTTTTCATAGGCTTTTTTGAGTTTGGGCAAGGACACAGGGGCCCCATGATCTCCTATTGCCCGGGGGCCCCATGAGTTGTCAGTCCGCCCCTGGTGTGTGTGTGATTTCTTTAATCTGAAAATGACAAAAGCTTGCTTTTGATACAGTTCGACTTAGATGTGGTCTGATTAACGGCCCATGATGAAACATTGCGGGAACAGATATCTGCACTGCCTGCTTCTACAATTATAAACTGGCACATGTGATGAAAGATGGGGTAATGGCATACGATGGGCAGGAGCACAGTACAGTCTCCAAATGAGCCAACAGGCCAAACAAGCCCTGACAATTTTACCGTCTACCCATCCAAAAGCATTGATATTTTTTCTAGAAATGAAAAACAGAATGTCCCAACAAAGTATTGCTGTACATTTTTTTTTTATGCAGAATGATGACCAAAATATGAAGGCTTAATTATAAAGATGGAATGTTTTTCCTTAAAATGCAGTTTATATTTGCATTTAAAAGAAATTAACGTAAACTACATTTTTTAAAACTTTAAATATTAAAACTCCTCCTAGGTTGATTTTGCTGCCCCTTCAATTTCTGTCCTGGAGACAAATGAGAAGAAATGTCTGGGTGCAATTTCCATCTTAAAGAGTTTTCACAGAAACAGGTGCCCCCACCCTCTCCTCTTGCCTTGGTGAAACATTTAGAATGTTGACTTGCGCTTCACTTTCTGTCTCGGTGACAATGGTCACCAGAACAAATAGAGGGATCAGTCTTTACAGCAGGGACTTGGATGGCAATAAAACGTTGTCAATGGGTCTAACCCTTCTCTACCCGTACCTTGGTATGGACATAGGGTTGGAGGGAAGGGTCTGCAGAAGCCTGTGGACTGCACTCAAGATTCACTGACTGCAGTTGAAATGCTTTGCAGGCTCATATGCAAAAAAAAAGTAATAATATTAATAAATGTGCACTATATGCAAATACATTTACACTTATTTTGTTTTTCAAAATATAGACTTTAGCTGCCTAAACATGGGTCACTTTTTTTCGTTAAACCACATTCAATGTGGATGAGGGCATTTTCCATGTTGTGGCATTGTATTCTGACAGCAGCGAGACTCCCCTGCCATCAGAATACACAGGTCAGTGCTGCAGCCTATTGCCTGTGGCACTGATCAATTGAAAATACACTGAAAGGGTGGTTAAACAGAGTTTAATAGATGGATCAACTGTTCAACCACAGTGGCCACACATGAATCGAAATTCGGTTAGTCCCTGCTGAACCGGACAAATTTCAATCCCAGTCTGGGCAGCTTTAGCCGTTGACAAAAACGGCATGAAATTAGCTGAACATTAGACTACGTATATATTTAGACATTCTTATCCTGTGGTCTTGGTGCCTCATTTTGGTTCTAAAGCTACAGCATTGTCATGATTTCAAACATGACTTCATGATACAGAAACATGCAAACGTTACATAAAAATGGAAATATAAAAAAGGGAACACAAGTCGTTATGATATTGTCTATTGCTGTTCTCAGTTTATTTTGGTATATAAGGAACGCCTCTCTTTCCACCCAGTAGGGACATGCTGTATGATGTCTGTGCTTGATTAAAGCCCTTATGCAGTGCTGACGTCATGGTTGTGTGGCCTGCATTATTATTATTATTATTATACAGTATTTATATAGCGCTAAAAGGTTTGCTCAGCGCTGTACATTATAGTGGGGGACAGAACATGAGACAATACAGTAACAAAACCGAACACGAGGGGTTCGAGGGCCCTGATCCTTGGAGCTTACAATCTAGGAGGGAGGGGATAGTGGTACAGAAGGAAGTGGCTGTGGGGAACGGAGTGGTGGGAGGAGAGGAGGAGATCGGCTGTTAGGTGAGGGTGGGGTAGGCTTCCCTGAAGAGATGGGTTTTCAGGGTGCGCCTAAAGGTGAGAAGGGTAGGTGACAGTCTGATGGATTGGGGTAGCGAGTTCCAGAGGATGGGGGAAGTCCTGGAGAAGTCCTGCAGTCGGGCGTGGGAGGTGAAGACCAGGGAGCTAGAAAGTAGGAGGTCTTGTGAGGAGCGAAGGGCACGGGTTGGGTGGTATTTGGGTATCAGGTCAGTGAGGTAGTTTGGGGCAGCGTTATGAATGGCTTTGTATGTCAGTGTTAGTAGTTTGAATTTAATGCGTTGGGCAATCGGGAGCCAGTGGAGGGAATGACAGAGAGGGGTGGCAGAAGTGGAGCGGTTGGTGAGGTGGATAAGTCTGGCCGCTGAATTCAGGATAGACTGAAGCGGGGATAGTCTGCGATGAGGTAGGCCGGTGAGGAGGGAGTTGCAGTAGTCCAGACGTGAGATAATGAAGGAGTGAACGAGTAGTTTAGTGGTGTCTGGGGTTAATCACGAACGTATTTTGGAGATGTTGCGGAGGTGGAGCCTGCATGAGTTTGCCAACGATTGGACATGGGGTTGGAAGGACAGGTTTGAGTCTAGAGTGACACCTAGGACTTTGGCTTGCGGGGTGGGACTGATGGTGGCGTTGTTGATCGTGATGGAGAGGGTGGGCGCACGGGCTGGGGGGAAAATCAGCTCTGTTTTGGAAAGGTTCAGAGGAAATGGAGCGACATCCAGTCTATGTCGTTCAGTAGGTGGGTGATACGGGCGTAGACTGAAGGGGTGAGGTGAGGGGTGGAGAGGTAAATTTGCGTGTCATCGGCATAGAGGTGATAGTTGAAGCCGTGGGAGTGTATCAGTTGGCCAAGGGAGGAGGTGTAGATGGAGAAGAGAAGGGGCCCGAGGACAGAGCCTTGGGGGACCCCAACAGAGAGGAGGGAGAGAGGGGGAGGTGGTAGCGTTATAGGTAACGCTGAAGGAGCGTTGGGATAGATAGGAGGAGAGCCAGGAGAGAGCGGAGTCTCTGATGCCACGGGAGTGTAGTTTATTAAGAAGCATTCTGTTGCACTCTTGGTACCAGGAGTGTAGACTGGCACCTTTGCTTGCACGTGTCCACAGTAGATGAGAGACTCGCTTACTTGAGCTGTGCCACTGGGTCTGGATTGTCTTATCAGATTCCTTGTTTATTTTCCACGGAATAAAATAATAAAAGAGCCAGTGTGGTTCATTTTTTAATAGACTCCTCTACATAGACTGGCTTGTAGAGGCTTCTGCTTATATTGGAGTTCAGGGATCAACAGAGGTTCTAATGCACAGTAATTACATACAACATCCTCAGATTCCTTTGTAGAGGACAGGTGTGGTTACAACTTGAGCCATAGTAAGCCACAGAGCTAAATGCAACCGCTCCCTGTAATACATTAAAGTGTTGTTCAGACTAACCATTTTTTTCTTTATTCCAGATAGAATGATTAAGATTTAAAAGTTCTATTGGGTTTCCATTGCTACCCAGGGCTCATAAAAAAAAAAAAAAAAAAAAAAAAAAAGTTACCCTCATTCCCAACCCCTGACAACATTTTACCAGACAGGAACTGGGGGGTACTCTCCAACAGCAACACAGACAAAAATACATATAAACATGCTTTTATTACTGTATTTTCCGGCGTATATAAGACGACTTTTTACCCCTTGAAAATCCTCTCAAAAGTCGGGGGTCGTCTTATACGCCGGTATACGGCATACTGACACTTTTTAGGGAATCGGCGCGGTGCCGCCACATCGGAAGGGACACTAAGTACAGGGGTGGGCAGGGGCTGCTGTTTCTTACCTGGATCCAGTCCCACGACGATCCAGTCCAGGAAGCGCGGCTGCTCCTTCAGTTTCGGCCACTGGATGTTCGCGTGGCTGCTCGGCTCCGCCTCCTCACCGGTGATTGGCCGCCAGAACTGTAGCTCAGGAAAGGCACACAGGCGGCCAATCACCGGTGAGGGGGCGGAGCCGAGTGGCCCTGCGAAAATCGAGTGAAGGAGCGGCCGGTAAGTGTGCAGTGTAGAGGTGCTGCTGCAACCACATATGCTGGCTGCAGCAGCACCATACTAGAACAGGGGTCAGCAAGTGTAACTGGTGTCAGTGGGAGGAATAGTGCCTCATCATTGGTGTCACTGATAGTAATGATGGGGCATTATTCCTCCCACTGACACCAACGATGGGGCACTATTCCTCTCCAAACCCCCACTGACACAATGACAGGGCACTATTCCACCCCCCACTGACACCAATGATGGGACACTATTCCTCCAACTGACGCCAATGATGGGGCACTATTTCCCCCACTGATACTAATAATGGGGCACTATTCCTGCCACTGATACCAATGATGGGGCACAATTCCCCCCCCCACTGACACCAAAGATGGGGCACTATTCCTGCCACTGACACCAATGATGGGGCACTATTCCTGCCACTGACACCAATGATGGGGCACTATTCCTGCCACTGACACCAATGATGGGGCGCTATTCCTCCCACTGACACCAATGGTGGGGCACGATTCCTCTCACTGACACCAATGATGAGGCACGATTCCTCCCACTGACACCGATGATGGGGCACTATTCCTCCCACTGACACCAATGATGGGACACTATTCCTCCCACTGGTGTGCATTGGAAGAGGGGTAGTCTTATACGGCGAGTATAGCCCAAACACTACATTTTAGCAGGAAAAGTAGGGGGTCGTCTCTTATACGCCGGAAAATACGGTAGTAGTGTATAAAAAGGTTAGACCTCCTTCAA